GTGGCACGGACATATATACACTACCAAACGTAAAATAGATAGCTAGTAGGAAGCAGCCGCACAGCACAGGGAGATCAGCTCCGTGCTTTATGACCACCTAGAGGGGTGGGATAGGGAGGGTGGGAGGGAGGGAGACGCAAGAGAGAGGAGATATGGGGATACATGTATATGTATAGCTGATTCACTTTGTTATACAGCAGAAACTAACACACCATTGTAAAGCAATTATACTCCAATAAAGATGTTAAAAAAAATTTTAAATGAAAGGCAAAAAGAAATAAAATAATTTTTAAAATAAAAATAAATAAATAAAAGCTAGAGCAGGGTATATTCAGTCAAAATAAGAAAATCAAAACTTAAGTGCTAGTGCCAGCTCCTTACCAGTGACTGTGTGACCTCGGCACAGCCACCTAACCCTTCTGAGTATTAGTCCCCTTACCTGTTTGTGGAAAAGGCAAACACTGCCCTAGCTACCGCCATGAGTTGTCCTGAGGATCAAATTAAATGTAAAATATCCTAAAAATGTAAGGGTGTCTACTAATATTTGGTACTTCTGTAGCTTTCAATAATAACAAGGGCTTTCAATGATTAGAACTGTAGTAGCAAAGAGCTTTCAAATGTATTTATCACATTATTTGATACTCAAACCAGGATAGATGGATCAAACAAGTAGTAGTATTCTGATTTTCCAGATTAAGATTCTTAAGATTCAGATTAAGTTTCAAAGAGCTTAAATTGACTTGCCCACAGTTATTCAGGAAGTGGTAGACTATGTCTAAAACTCAGGGTTTCCATTCCCAGACCAGGCTCTTTGGATCACTTCTGTATTTCTTTTCTGTCTGTCCCTGTCAGTGTGCTCAATTCATTATTATAATCTCTCAGAAGGCAGAATCTATTATATCCAACTTTACAGAGCTTCCCAGGAACTAACCTAAAATACTTACACCAGGGCATGGAACTATGAGGAAGAACAATCACCAACGCTGCTATGTACAACGTTCTGGAGGGTAGGATATACTCAACTGTGTGTGGATGTGTGTGTGTAAAGGATGCCTAACATAATGCTGAACAATAAAGAAACATGCAACAGATATTTGATAAATGATTGATTTGTGTCCTGGACAGGGAAAAAGAATGAGCCAGCAGATGAAGAACATAAACTATATTCAAAATGGAACCTGAAAAATGCAATCAGAAGTCAGCTAACTTTCAAAGCTAAAACCCACAGATATGGGAAGCAATTTAGAGGATCTATGAATAGAATTTTAGTGCTGGTGTTACGGCATCTTAGGATAGTGATTCTCAAAAGCCACGCGCGTTAGAATCACCTGGGATACCCGTTAAAATGCAAATCCCTAGCTACACTGCTAGAACTAGATTCCAATTCAGTAGGTCTGGGATGGTGCCCAGGAATCTGTATTTTCATAAGTATCCTAGGAGATTCTTATACAATGGACACATTTTGCAAAAACACTATGCCAAGGTATCCCCGTTATCTTCAGTGATCATAAAATGATAAATATGCTTTAAAATTAATTTGAATCCATTTTTAACATCTTTATTGGAGTATAATTGCTTTACAATGGTGTGTTTCTGCTTTATAGCAAAGTGAATCAGTTATACATATTCATATGTTCCCATATCTCTTCTCTCTTGCATCTCCCTCCCTCCCACCCTCCCTATCCCACCCCTCTAGCTGGTCACAAAGCACCGAGCTGATCTCCCTGTGCTATGCGGCTGCTTCCCACTAGCTATCTATTTTACGTTTGGTAGTGTATTTTAAATATAGTCACACGTCATATTACTTTGAGGAGGATTCCAAAATTAAACAATGAGGTTCACAACTCCAAAAGTTTCATCTCTCCTAAGTGTTCTCCAGGCACAGACTACAAGGCCATGATGATCAACGCCTTAGGCAGCCCTAAATAACATCACTATCCACATGGCTGAAAGCATTACTGAACAGCCATTCAGGAGAGAAACCCCAAAATATAACTAGCTTTACATGTTAATAAACCAACCATCACAGAAAAGCATACAATTTAAATTGAGCTGGTAATCCAAAATTAGGAAAGCAGAGTATGAAGACTGTCACAAGAAAAGCAGTTTTCATTTTAACATACCAAAGGAGCTCAGCCATGGCAATGAAATAAGAACAGAATGCAAACACTCTGGGATTTATTACAATTTTTCCCTCCTCTTCAAGAGAAAGGAGAAACCCTTTTAAATAACAGATTTATCTAATCATTGTTCAATGTCTGAGTTTTAGTTCAGTCTCCATTATTCAAAATATTTTTAAAACTGCACAGGTGGGTCAAATGACTGTTCTGGTTCATCTTGATTTTGAAAGGAATGAATTTCATCACCTACATCAGGATTAAATTCAGAAAACGTCATGGAAATGTAATCCTCAACAGGTGGTTCCCATTCTAGAAAATATGAGCTACTCTCCACCTACAAGAGGAAGGACAATTGCCCAGGTTTCCTCCATTGCTTGACTATCTCTCTATTTAAATTGACTTCATGATATATGAGCTGGGTCAGGGTATACCAACTGCCCGCAGAGAACACTTTTTCTTTCCTTCTTTTTTATTGTTTCTTTGGGGGGTTTTTTGGTTGTTGTTTTCGGGGGGGGGTTTGTGTGTGTTTTTTGTTTGGTTTGGTTTGGTTTCTGCAATAAGAGCTTTCTCTAATAAACCTGAAGATTACAATGTGGTTATGGTGTCATAAGGCCACTTCTGTATCAATCTCTTACCCTTGTGAAAAATCAAAACTTTGTCCAAACTGAATATGCAAAATACCAATTAAACTCCAGGAAAAGAACATAAAAACATATCAAAGTTCCTGGGGTATGAATCTGTCATCATCATCATTATTATTACTATTATTATTTACAGAACCTATATACTGAATTCAGAAAACCAAAACTGAAAGTCTGCATAAAACTACAGGCCTTGAGGCCAAAGGAAAATTTGATAAAACATACCCGAATCAGCATCTATTGTCTTGATGGACTATTAAATATTTCTGCACTTAACACAGTACGCTAAATCATTTTCAAAAAAGACACAGATATTCTGTTCCAGCTATTATACACTGGCCACATTCACCAATACCACCCTCATTTCACAACAAAGAAGCACTAGACTTGGGAGCCAAAAACCCCAATTTTGAGTAACTGCTCTGCTATCTCCTAACCCAATGATGTAACACAAGTTAATGTCACCTCTCTGAGCCTGTCTTCTCATTTGTAAAATAGGATACGGCTCTCCCTACTTTCAAAGTTGTAAGAGTATATGAAATAAGGTACATGAAAAGACTTTTGTGAATTATAGAAAAATCACTCAGCTGTAAAAGATTCTGATCAATCATTTCTCCATATGAAAAGACTAAAAAAAACAAGCACTCTACCTCAACCAAATACACAAGACGGCAACTAAACTGAAAAGGAATTTAAAGAAAAAGCAGACAGTGTTTCTCTTAGGCTTGCTGCCATATTTCATTTAGGCACACCCGAGACTCTGGGCAGACCTTCATTTCATGGCTGCACTAATTTCTATGTCAAGATGTGTAGCTATGTCTTATGAGTCAAAAATAATCACACAAAACCCATGAAAGCCAGATTCTATTTTTCTTAAGCCTCGGGCCAAGAGAAGTGCTATGCTTTGTTTTATGCTCATTCCTACTTCATTATGCCATTGCAGGTTATAAAGTTGGGGGAAGAGAACAAAATACTTACAGCTGCAGACACTATTTGGGCAGAAATTCCCTTCAAAAGTGAATGTCGCATAACTGATCCATGCAGTGAAAAAGAATCAGGTAATTTCTTCTTTCTTAAAAAGAAAATAAAAAGGAAAATGTTTAAGAATTGGAAAAAAAAATTGAAGAGGCAGGGTCTTTAAAACTTTGAAAGAAGAAAAAATAAAAACGAGAAAAGCATAAAACACTGTATTACTTTGTTAGCTCTGGTTTGCAAAGAGGTATAAAGTCTAACAGTCTCACGTTAAAATGTACTGAATCCACCCTGAGCCTCAGAGAAGCACAAGCAGGAAAATGAATAAAGCCACCATTTCTTTTTCACTGATTCAACCTGTTTCTTGCCCACCTTAAGAAATACAGCAAGAGGTTCTGCTACTCATCAGAAGGTTGCCTATAGAGCACCCCTGCTCACATGTCTACATTACCTCTACCTGCCTTCCACCTTTGCCACCTTTCTTGCCCTCCTGTTGTCTATAACGACCCTCTCATTCTCCAACCAACTGCCTCAAATTCCCTACTCATTACTCATTCTCTGATGCTCCTTTCACTTAACCTACTCATCACTGTACAAAAAATAATTTAACTTTTACCAAACATTGAACACCTACCCTATGTGACTAAACGTATGCTCTGGGGATACAAAAATAAGAAGGTCAAAGCTCCTACTCTCAAGGACCTCATATCCTAGCTAGAGGGACTAATGAGTAACTCTCTCTTAAATTAAAGGATAAATGTTAGAAAAGAAAAATAAATAAAGCACTACAGAAATGAAATGAAGAGTTTAATCCTGTTTATTAGGGAGCTATTAGGGAGAGCTTTAGAAAAGAAAAGGCATCTGAGCTGGCCTTGATAGATAACTAGGAGTCTGTCAGACAACAAAAAAGCACAAGTAATAATGTGAAGATGTAATGGTGCACAGTGTGTGGAGAATGTAAGTACACAAAAGGCATGGACCAGGAGGACAGGAGTGGGAGTGCTCAGAGATTATGTCAAAATGGTAAGCAGGGTTCAGACTGATGCCATGCAAAGCAGTTCTGACATTACTATGCAGGCAAAAAGAAGACACCACAGCTTTTAAGCAGGTAGTGACCAAATCATCCAAAACATTTACATTATAATGGTTCCATACAAATTTTAGGATTTTTTTTCTGTGAAAAAATTTGTTATTGAAATTTTGATAGGGATTGCACTGAATCTATACATGACTGTGGGTAGTATGAACATTTTAATTAATCCATGAACATGGGATATCTTTCCATTTGTGTTTTTTAATTTCATTCATCAATTCTTATAATTTTCTGTGTACAGCTCATTCACCTCCTTGTTCCTAAACTTATTCCTAAGTATTTTATTGCTTTTGATGCCATTGTAAATGAGATTTTTATTACTTTTTTATATATTTCATTGTTAGTTTCTAGAAACACAACTGATCCAAATCAAAGTAACCTTGAGAAAGAAGACCAAAGCTGGAGGCATCACACTTTCTGATTTCAAACTCTATTTCAAGCTACAGTAATCAAAACAGGATGGTACTGGCATTATAAAAGACACATAGATCAACGAACAAAACAGAGAGCCCCGAAATAACCACTTGCATATACTGTCAACTAATATTTGACAAAGGAGCCAAGAGCACTCAATAAGGAAAGAATATTCTCTCCAATAAATGGTGCTAGGAAAACTAGGTAATCACATGCAGAAGAATGAAACTGTACCCTTACCTTATACCACTCACAAAGATTAAACAGATTAAATACTTAAACATAAGACCTGAAACCACAAAGCTCTTAGAAAAAAACAAAGGGAAAAACCTCCTTGACAGTGGTACTGGCAGCAATTTTTTGGTTATGTATGGAACCAAAAACACAAGCAACAAAAGCAGATATACATATAATATATATAAATATATATAAATGGGACTACATCAAACTAAAAACCTTCTGCACAGCTAAAGAAACAATCAAAACATGAAAAGGCAACCTATGGAATAGGAAAAAGTATCTGCAAACCATTAACCCCATAAGGGGTGAATAACCAAAATATATAAAGAACACTTATAACTCAACAGCAAAAAACGATCTGAGTAAAAAAATGCGCAGAGGACCTAAATAGGCATTTTTCCAAGGAACACAACAGATGGCCAACAGGTACATGAAAATGTGCTCAACATCACTAATCATCAGAGAAATGCATATGAAAACCACAATGAGATATCATCTCATATCCATTAGTATGGCTATTATCAAAAAAACAAAAGATAAGCATTTGTGAGGATACAGAGAAAAAGGAATCCCCAGACACTGTTGGTGGGAATGTAAATTGGTGCAGTCACTATGGAAAATAGCATGGAGGTCCCTCAAAAAATTAAAACTAGAACTACCATGTGATCCAGCAATCCCACTTCTGGGTTGTATATTCAAAGGAAACAAAATCACTATCTCAAAGAGATACCTGCACTCGTATGTTCACTGCAGCATTATGCAAAACAGCCAAGATACGGAAACAACCTAAGTTAAATGTCCATCTACAGATGAATGGATACAGATGTGTATGCACATACATACACACACACACACACACACACACACACACAATGGAATATTATTCAGCCATGAGAAAGAAGGAAATCCTGCCATGTGTGACAACACTGATGGACCTTGAGGGCATTATGCTACAAGAAATAAGTCAGACAGAGCAGGACAAATACTGTATGATCTCACTTATAGTGGAATTTTAAAAAGCCAAACTCACAAAAAGACAGACTAAAATAGTGACATCCAGGGGCAGAGGGAAATACAGAGATGCTGGTCAAAGGGTATAAACTTCCAGTTTTAATATGAGTAAGTTCTGGGGATCTAATATACAGCATGGTGACTATAACAACACTGTGTTATATACTTGAAAGTTGCTAAGAGAGTAGATCTTAGATGTTCTCACTGCAAAAACAAAAAACAGGCGAATTATGTGAGGTGATAAGTAACCCTTCTGTGGTAATCATTTCACAATATATACATATATCAAAGAATCACGCAGAGGGAAGACAGCAGAAACAAGAAGAATTACAATCCTGCAGCCTGTGGAACAAAAACCACATTCACAGAAAGATAGACAAGATGAAAAGGCAGAGGGCTATGTACCAGATGAAGGAACAAGATAAAACCCCAGAAAAACAACTAAATGAAGTGGAGATAGGCAACCTTCCAGAAAAAGAATTCAGAATAATGATAGTGAAGATGATCCAGGACCTCAGAAAAAGAATGGAGGCAAAGATCGAGAAGATGCAAGAAATGTTTAACAAAGACCTAGAAGAATTAAAGAACAAACAAACAGAGATGAACAATACAATAACTGAAATGAAAACTACACTAGAAGGAATAGCAGAATAACTGAGGCAGAAGAACAGATAAGTGACCTGGAAGACAGAATGGTGGAATTCACTGCTGTGGAACAGAATAAAGAAAAAAGATGAAAAGAAATGAAGACAGCCTAAGAGACCTCTGGGACAACATTAAACGCAACAACATTCACATTATAGGGGTCCCAGAAGGAGAAGAGAGAGAGAAAGGACCAGAGAAAGTATTTGAAGAGATTATAGTCGAAAACTTCCCTAACATGGGAAAGGAAATGGCCACCCAAGTCCAGGAAGCGCAGAGAGTCCCATACAGGATAAACCCAAGGAGAAAAATGCCAAGACACACAGTAATCAAACTGGCAAAAATTAAGGACAAAAAAAATTATTGAAAGCAGCAAGGGAAAAATGAAAAATAACATACAAGGGAACTCCCATAAGGTTAACAGCTGATTTCTCAGCAGAAAATCTACAAACCAGAAGGGAGTGGCATGATATACTTAAAGTGATGAAAGGGAAGAACCTACAACCAAGATTACTCTACCCGGCAAGGATCTCATTCAGATTCGATGGAGAAATCAAAAGCTTTAAAGACAAGCAAAAGCTAAGAGAATTCAGCACCACCAAACCAGCTCTACAACAAATGCTAAAGGAACTTCTCTAAGTGGGAAGCACAAGAGAAGAAAAGTACCTACAATAACAAACCCAAAACAATTAAGAAAATGGTCATAGGAACATACATATCGATAATTACCTTAAATGTGAATGGATTAAATGCTCCAACCAAAAGACACAGGCTTGCTGAATGGATACAAAAACAAGACCCATATATATACTGTCTACAAGAGACCCACTTCAGATGCAGGGACACTCAGACCGAAAGTGAGGGGATGGAAGAAGATATTTCATGCAAACGGAAATCAAAAGAAAGCTGGAGTAGCAATACTCATATCAGATAAAATAGACTTTAAAATAAAGAATGTTAAAAGAGACAAGGAAGGACACTACATAATGATCAGGGGATCAATCCAAGAATATATAACAATTATAAATATATATATGCACCCAACATAGGAGCACCTCAATACATAAGGCAACTGCTAACAGCTATAAAAGAGGAAATTGACAGTAACACAGTAATAGTGGGACAGTTTAACACCTCACTTACACCAATGGACAGATCATCCAAAATGAAAATAAATAAGGAAACACAAGCTTTAAATGACACAATGGACCAGACAGATTTAATTGATATTTACAGGACATTCCATCCAAAAACAGCAGATTACACTTTCTTCTCAAGTGCGCACAGAACATTCTACGGGATAGATCACATCTTGGGTCACAAATCAAGCCTCAGTAAATTTAATAAAATTAAAATCATATCAGGCATCTTTTCTGGCCACAACATTATGAGATTAGAAATGAATTACAGGGAAAAAAACGTAAAAAACACAAACACATGGAGGCTAAACAATACATTACTAAATAACCAAGAGATCACTGAAGAAATCAAAGAGGAAATCAAAAAACACCTAGAGACAAATGACAATGAAAACATGATGATCCAAAACCTATGGGATGCAGCGAAAGCAGTTCTAAGAGGGAAGTGTATAGCTATACAAGTCTACCTCAAGAAACAAGAAAAATCTGAAATAAACAATCTAACCTTACACCTAAGGGAACTAGAGAAAGAAAAACAAACAAAACCCAAAGTTAGCAGAA